ATTACTTCAACGGAAGGTTTCCAGATGTATATGCGGAGCAAATCCATCTGGCGGAGTCAGGTTAGCTAACTGTACCCATGTGTTAAAATGGCCTAATCAAAGTGCAGAGCTAAATTAAACTGAGATATGTGGAAAGAGTTAAACACTAATGTTTAGATGATCCAAATACACTTGGATGCCACCATTAGATTTATCTGGGAGGGGGAAAAAAACACATCTTCTTTGCTATAATAAACTTTAAATCCTTCTGTCACATAAAATTACCCAAAAAAAATCATAGGCCCTAATGGTTGTGGGCTGTTTTTTTCAAATTGTGAAAAGAAAACAAGGCAGGGATTGTTTTTTAATTTCTGGTTGTGTTACTTTTTTTAATTGTCATTTTTTTTTTTTTTTTTAAGGTTTGGTTGAAGACTCTGGACCTGATCACAGTGTTATTGGTATGTTAGTGTTCAGGCTTTGTATAATTCCTCTTCATTCATGTTTCTAACACCTGTTATTTTTCTGCAAAGGATGGATTGTTGGAGTGTTGGCCTTTGGAGTTTTAGTGGCTTTACTTGCCATTTTCTGGTTTAGACGAAAGAATCAGAGCAGGTACTACTATCAGAGAACTTAGCTGTTTTGTCAGTAATCAGTTTATTTTTAATTTATAATTAATTAATTTATAAAACCCTTAATTTGCCACACAGGAAGCATCAAAAAGAGAAAAACTCAAAGGAACAAATCAACTTTATTCAGTAAGTTTTTAAATTTTTTTTATATATCACTGACATTATTACATTGTTTACATATTAATATTTTGCAATTGCTTTTGATAACAATATTACATTCACTACACCTAATGGTACGGCATTTTCTTTTGAGTGTCTTTGATTAATTTACTTAACATATTTTTCTTTTTAATCAAGGAATGAGGAAATCTTTATACCACAAAAGAACACTGAGGAGCAGAGATCTGGCCTAATCAACAGACAAACCAGCAGACAATCAACAACAGAATCACCAACAACAGAATCACCAACAACACCTGATGTAGAAAGCTGTCAACATCCAATTATGACAGGAAAAAAATCTGAGTAACCAAACCTGGGTTTTTATGTTTCCATGAATAAAGATCTAATTATGTAATTAGATATTTAATTAGATCAGAAATAATCCTTTTGTGACTTTCTTTCCAATTTCTAGATCATAGATGTGTGTATACATTTATATGTATGTGTATGTATATATACACATAGAAAGTAATAATGATGTGAAAAACATTTCCCACTCTTCCTGATTTGTGTGTTTCAATACCTTCATTTTATTTTTCATCACCCACTTAGAGGTGTAATTACTGTTTTTTTTTTTTTTTTTTTTTATGATTGCCTCTCTATAGAATAGTTTCCTTGTTGGTTTCAGCTGGAGGTCACAAACAGATGATGAACCAAATTTCTCTTTAAGGATTATTTAATAGACACAGTGACAGGAGTAACAGCAGTAAAAAAGTCCCACACCATCACATTACCACCACCATGTTTTACTGCTGGTATGATATTCTCTTTCTGAAATGTGGGGTTAGTATTACACCAGGTGTAATAGGACACACACCTTTTATATTCAGCTTTTGTCTTGTAAGCCAACAAAATATTTTCCTCAAAGTGTTAAGAATCATCAAGCCTTATAATGTTTTTTGCTCAGCAGTGGTTTTAATTTAGGACCTCCGCCATTTTTGCCCAGTCCTTTTTCCCATGGTGGACACTTGAACTCTGAACTTCACTGGCACTACTGAGGCTTGCAGTTCTTTAGATGATGATGTGGAGTCTTTGGGTCCTATACGGTGACTCATTGCTCAGTTCTTGGGGTATTTTGCTCAGTCAGCTCCTGCTAAAATGTAGGGGTCAGAGGTCCCCCTGCCTGTCTTTGCCTAGGGCCCCAAATTTCCTAAACCCACCCTTGCTAAAATGTTCACCACTGTTCACGATGTTGTTCGCTGGACACCCAAAGCTTTAAAAAAGGCTATGCAGTCCTTTTCCAGGCTCACAGATCACAATTAGTGTATTTCTTATTTGTTTTCAAATTTCTCAGGATCTCGGCATGATGTCCAGCTTTTGAAGTGCTCTTCTTTGTGTCAGACATGTCCTTCTTAGTTGATTTCTAGATTGAGAACAAGTTCTGGTGTAGCTAGAGAAAGTGACGTAGTTGTGTTAAACCATAGTTAAGAGTCAACTGAGGAAGGGAGTCATTTTTTGACATAGGGACAAGGAGGATTATGTTTTGTTCACCTTTATAATAAAAACCCTAATTTAAAAACAACATTTTGTGTTCTTGTGTTTTCTTTAAAGCTACAGTGTGTAATAATTACAGGGATATAAAGTCAGAAATTTAATATATTATACATAACTATGTTATTTATCATCACCTATGAGCTTAGCCTTTTAACCATAATATTTGCGTTGCCTTAGAATTCGTTATTTATAATTACATAGGAGCGGGTCTCGCAGCCATGGAGGCAGACATCTTTGCGCTACG